GTAGAATCCATATGGTACGGCCGTCAGACATGGTGAAGGTGAAGAAGCCATGGTGTTTCAGCCTCTGACATCCATCCACGAACTGGCCATAGATCCAGGGGAGTGGCAATGGCAACCAGTGTGGAGGCCTGGAAGGGCACCCGACAAGAAGCTTTATCTGCATACTCTGTCCGTTCGATCCATGTATAAGATGCTTCGACCCAAGAAAGCGATTCGGGATATAATCATGGACAGATGGGCTAGGCACTTAAACGTAGACAGATCCCTCCTAGTGCCGATCAAATGGTTTCGAGAAAATAAGGCGAGACCAGCAAAAACTGCATCCTTGCAGTGGCAGATAGCCCACCGCTGTCTACCAACAAACGCTTGGCTGATCGACCACACCCACCTGGAGCAAGCAGGAAGAGCACTACAATGGTGCCAGAGCCTAGAGGTACCTCACAGCCTTCCCCTCACAAAGATGGAACGAGACTATCGAACATGTCCTGTAGCACTGCTGACATGGCGATGGACCCGCATTTGGCGAAAGATGATATCAGAAACACCCTGGCCATGGTCCTGGCAAGCAATACGGGCATGACATTGCCGACACTAGCACAAGCATCCACCTTTGCAGACAACCTATACAGACTGGGCAGACGGACAATCTTGTGGGCACTCTGGTGGCAGCGCTGCACCTTAGCCTTGGAAGGAGTAAGAGTGGAGGGCCCCAAACTGACAGGACAAATCAAGGAGCTCATCGAACTTGAGTTAAGGCGAAGGTGGAACGACCTCAAAACCCAGCTAGATGTCTTCCAAACTGACCAAGACGTCAAGCGGATGATCACGAGCTTTGGTGCGGAGTGGCTGGGGGGACACCGGGGGGATTGGATAGCACAGGTTGAGTGGGGAGGAGACCAGAAAGCTCCATTAGGACAGGGACCCCCTAGGGACTATCACCTTGACTTCAATGATTGGACCAACGTTGAGCCCGCTTTCCCGATGAGACCCCCATCTGATTTCCTGGACCCCTTCCCGCCCCATCCCCTCTCCTTGATGTAAATCCCAGATTTGGACCATGTCTCCCCCCCTGTCCCCCCCCCCCGGTGCACCCCGAGGGACGACGGCAGAGACACGAGGAGGCTGAAGTCTAACCCCCAACAGCAGGATGATGCTGGTGTGAACTCAGTATGGCCCTCAGCGGTGTAGGCTCCACTGCTCTTAAATTTTCTTCAGCCGGAGTCAGATAATGACCCCGGTACATCCTCATAAGGGATAACAGATTGTTATAATGTGGGACTGGGGGAGGGAGGAACTAGTGTGTAGCAGTGTATCTGGCGCCGGGTTCAGGGTGAAGAGGTTCCCCCTTCCTTCTAATATCCTGCTCAGTCAATCCCCTGGACCCCAGGGTAATCAATGCTGGCAGGAACCCCCCACAATTGTTTTCTGATGTACTCCAAATTCAGTTTGTATAAGGGACGCTGGACCCTCTTTCCAGCAGGTGATGCTCCCCACCAATAGATGGAGCTTCTTCCCAGCTGAAAAAA